TACGGTGGCAATTTTGTGATTATTGAGAAATCTCGTGGCGTTTATAAATGTTTAGATTGTCAGATTATATATCTAATCCAAGGGTTGAGAATTGGTCTCACGAGTCTCACGAAAAACTACTGGTCTTACATTATCCTAAGTCTATATATATATATATATATATATATATATATATTCTTGAAAAATGGCATCAACTCTTGTTGTAAAAATGATATCTAAATTAATCATATGTTTCTAGATTCTTAATTAAAAAAAAGACAAAGATGGAATATTTGGAGCTCATAAATAAAAATTTAAATAATTGGGAACATGGTATAAAGAAAGACTTTGTTACTGAAATTTCAACATAAACTATTATAACAACAATCCAAAAACTTGTACCCTACAAAGAAGCCAAATAAATACATTTCATTCATTATGAATAGACATAAAGAAAAGATAAATTTTCTAATAAAATATTTCTAACATCTTAAATAGTTATGTTAAAATAATGAAATGGTAAAACTGAAAGACTGTTGATTTAAATCATAATTTTGTAAATGAAATGTCTTTATCATAAAAGCAAAAAAAAAAAATTTAAACCCCACCATTTTCTTGATGAAAACCCATAAACTTAACACCCATTTATATGAAACTAAAATCCAATACCCACATAACCAAAATAAGGCTTGATGTTTAAATACCGAAAACATAAACAATAAACAACATTTGAAGCGTCAAATCATGAATACTCTTCATACCCAAAATAACACGAAAACATAGATAAAATATCATAACTAAAACTCACCTTTTGGTGACGGGAGAAACCCGATTCTATTGAATGTGACGGAACACAAAAATAGGTCACATATCTATCTTATATGAGTGTCACTTACGGATTACAAATTCATTAAGATCAACCTCTCCAGGTCTATAGTTTAATAGGTTAACAAGCCCAACAACTCCATGTTTATTGCTTGTATAGCTACCAAGTTCAACCACACCTGGTCTACACCTCGGGATCTCCAAAAATCCTAGTTAAGCTCGTTCACAAGAAATTACATTTTGTTGATCAATGGTCGATGCCCAAATCAAAGAGCCCATATCTTATTGTCTATAAAGACCAAATGCCTATTTCATATTACATTACATGAATGTTCGTCTTACTCAAACCAACTCCTATCTTATGAATCCATTACATGACAGTCTAGATTACATGACCACAAATGAATGACCATACATCAGAGCATGCAACAATTCAAATAAATATGCCATAAACTGCATATAACTCCAAAAAGTCAACATAGAGCAAATTAAACTGGACAAATGTCCCCAAGACTCATCTGAGTCAAAATCGAGCCAAAGTTCAATAACTCAATTGACTATTAAATAAAAAGTCATCATAAGCGATAGTATGTATTTAACCAATGTTTATGAAAACACATGCTCCAAAAGTATGATTAACTCAAAAACTCATCATGGACATTTTCCAAATGAAATCATACTATTTATATCTCCAAAATAGTTTATGAC